AAACTTGCAAGTCCCACTGTAGCGAGCAGCAAGGTGTAGGATAGTCAATCCAGTATAGATCTATACACAAATTCACGCTCTCCTTCTAGGAGACTCTGGATACAAAACGAGCCATGACAGGTGATGCCATGTCCCGAAACCGTGGCTCACATTTATGTTATAGTATTCTTGTATATGTTTTGTATGTACTAGTGTAATGTATGTTCTCTCTGTCTAGTATGTAGTATGTTCTGTTTCTCATATAGTATGTTTTGTTTCTCATATAGTATGTTCTCTTAGTTTCTCATAATAGTATGTTCTCTTAGTTTCTCATAATAGTATGTATTGACTCATGTATGAACTGACTCTTTGTATGAACTGACTCTTTGTATGTTTCATTGTTCTAGTAATAGTATTAGTAACTTCCTAAACTATACCTATTATAGTTTACTAGTAATGTTGTTTGTATGAATGAACATGTTTGTATACCTTTGCTACCCAAAGGTGTTGAAATGAATGAAGGAACTTTTCTATCTATACACATATACATAATATATAATTAAGATTCAAACGACCTTCGGACAAACAACCGATACCCTAAGTCCATAACCAAACAAGGAACAGGAAGTAAGGCGAGCTATCAGTCCTAAGTCCTTTCAATCCTACTTATATAACTATATCTATATAGATATGCATTTGACAAAATATATGTTTAAAAGGGTTTAAAAGAAAGTATTTAACATGTAAAAGAGTTTATAAAATGATTTGAAGTAGTTTGTTTGATAACACAGTTTGAAAAGTAAGAAATCTACTTGTTTGGTAGTTATTAATCACATGTGATTGATATAATAACTATACTAGTTCAACTTGTATTCCCCCCCATAAAAGCATTTAAAATCATTTAAAAGATAAGTTTAGGGGTATGAACTCACCTGTAGTGAGTAACTCGAATGTAAGATCGATAAAGGATGGTAGGTGTCAAGTGAAAGCTTGAGCACACACACGGATCCTATTTAGCATATAATGACACATATATGTTTACAATTAGTGTTTAAACAACTAATTATAAGGGATAACACCCTAATAGACTAGGGACTCTTAGATTGAAGGGATACAATCACATATGATTGCATAACTAGGGTGTATGGCCACCCTAAAGGGTTTACGGTCCAAATGACATGACTAAGTGAGTTTACGGTCAAAATGGTATGACCATTGGAGTTCACGGTCCAAGTGGGTTTACGGTCCCATGTGTTTACAGTCATAAGGTTTACGGTCTAGTGAGTTTACCACCGTAAACTCACATCCTTTTGTGCATAGGATGATTTCCAAGCATTTCGAAGGGTTCTAAGTTCCATCCTAGGCTTTAGGAGGGTTTAATGGTCACAATGCACCATTTATTAGAGTTTACGGTCTAAGGAGATTCACTTAGACCGTAAACACCTTGTTCTTGGCTAAAAATGATGTTTTCAAGGTGATTAACTAGTGATTCAAGCATATAACAAGCTAAGGGTAGTGTACTTACTGATTAGAAGCTTGTAAAGATGATTAGGATTCAAGAACATTAGTGTGTGTTCTTGGTGTTCTTGGTGAAATGAAGAACACTTGAAGATCTATCAAAATGAAGAGATTTCATGGATGAAATCATGTATAATCACTAGATATTGAAGGATATCCACAAATCAAGAGAAGAAATACTTACAATCTTGAAGATCTAAGAGAAAAGTTGGATGATACTGGAGAGATTTTTCGAGATTTTGGCTTGTAAAGGAAAGAAAGGATCAAAATGATCATGAATTTGGTATATATAGGGAGTTTACGGTCACCATGACCGTAAGCTCTCAGCTTCCTGACCATAAACTCCTTTTGAGGAGGTTTACAGTTTGCTAGATGGTTTGGAACATTAACTGATGCATCCAAACACTGATTCCTTCGATGCACTAGGCTCAGAATGCTCAAACAGTCTCTAAACAGTGCTAAAAGTTAGCAGAAACGAGTCTGACTTAGATTGAAATGAATGGTTTGTACAAGATAGAAATTCCGGGTTGTCACAAAGTTATGGTCGTTCGAAGTTGAAACAAAATAGTTACGACACCACAGCACGGTGCTGACACAACCACGGCGCGGTAAAACCGAATTAACAAAAAATATATGAATTTAAGGCCCATATTTCGTTATTTCGAGGCAAATGAACAAAAAGAAATCAGAGAATATGTAAAGGGGAGAAAAGAGGTGAATTTTGATGGGATTAAGCCCACTAAAGGTCCGACGATCGCTACAACCGACGTCAAGGGTAAGATTTCAAGTCGAGGAGCGATGATTATGGCTTAGAGAAAGAGGTCATGAGGCCGTTTAGCAAGGGTATGACTGTCGTTGGGCTAATATAATTGGACTAGTGGTTGAGCTAAGAGATAGCGCGAGGCTAGGAGCCAGATTGAAAGTTACTTGTCACTGACTGCTCAAGTGAGTTATAAATTTTTAGTACGAAAACATGGATATATTGTATGATAGTAAATGGAATATTTATGAAATTGCAATATATATCGGATTAAATGTTAAATTATGTTAATGTAATAACATGTATTTCAATGTGTAAAAGATGAGAATGAAAGTGAGATGCTAGCTAACTCAAATGATCCGCGAGGGATCATTTAGATTCGCAAGGTAATCCATAGAAAGAATATCGTTGATCCGTGAAGGATAATTTGGATTCACGAGGTAATCCATAGAAACAACATTGTTTAGAAATGGTCATTTATGTGAATAGACATATATAAGAATTGATTAAATGAAAAATTACTTTTATTTTGCATGTTGTTTTATAACTCACCAGACTTGTTGTCTGATGTATGTTATTATTATCTATTCCAGGTGTTTGGATACAGCCTAGAGAGGGGTGATGAGATTGATAGTAAAGAGCCAATAGATAGGAACTGGAAATAACTTTTGTGATGTAAGCAACCTTTTAATTTTACTATTGTTTATTGTATCAATTGTAATACCCGAAGGAATATGCTACAAATGTATTTGTAAATGAAAGGAGAAAATTTCCGGGACCATATTTTATAAATGGGACCCATTGACAGGAAATCCTTTATAAACCATAATATTTTAATATATACAAAAGACTGGGTATTACATTTTGTTTCATCACGTTTCCAATTCATATACTGGTTTTTGAAATTGTGTGTTTTACATATTTAGCTACGATTTGGTGTTAGTATAATTGAATTCTTTTAGCATGTAGATATCTGATCCTCCCATAAATTTGTGATTTTAAATGGGAAAATGACACTGTAGCACATCAAACTTTTGTCATTTGGCCAATTTGGTCACTAAAGTTTTTTTTTGGTCAATTAAGTCACTAAATTCGGGTTTTACCTGTCAATTAAGTCATTTTCCCCGATTTTAAACGGTTTCCCGGTTTCCTTCTTTACGTGGCTAAGTGATGTGTCAAAAACCCCTTACCTGGACTTCCAACGTGGCACCTGATGTGTTATCTTCCCAATTACGCTATTAATTAAAACCCCGATTTGGACCTCATTCATTTCTTTCTTACCCGTTCGTGAAAATCGAAGCAAGCACCCTCCTTTACATAATCAGATTGTTCGATTCTTCAACACAATGTCTGCGAGCTTGTCCAATGCAAGAAATCGCCTCCAAGTTGCTCGTGTGTTTGTTCAAGACGATGTTAACAACTGTGACTGCGATGTTCCAGCTAAGGAACGGACATGTTGGAAGCTCACTAAGCCCGACAGACGTTTTTGGAACTGCAACAACAGCTTAGTAAGCTTCGATCTACCTTGATTTGTTAATGCAAGATTTTTTAGGGTTTCACAATCAAAAACCTATTACATTACGAAAAAAACCCTAAAAATAATTTTGATTATCTTGGTTTGTTGTCATGATTTCGTTTCTGAAATTACATGTATGATCGCGATTGTTTAAATGGTGTTGTAGTGTTATTCATTTTTTATTTCGTGGTTTCTTAAATTGCATTTGGTGATTAGTGATTACGTTTTGATGTTGTATTCATGTGTGTTTGATATAGACAAGACTGAGGAAATGTGATTACTTTTAATGGAAAGATGTCGCCCTGGAAGATGGTTACTACAAAAACCTCATCTATTCCATGAAGCAACAGTTGGATTCCAAAGGGGATCTTGGTGTCATAAAAAACTTGAGGACTAGGAATGTTGAGTTGGAGTTTCTCCTGATTAAGGAGAAGAGTCTAGTGGCAAGCATGGATAAGGGGATGTGTGATTCCAAGAAGAGCATACGTATGTACAAGCTGTTGGTAGTTGTTCTAGTTGTTGGGTATGTTTGTTTTGTTTTTAAGTTAGCTAATTAGTGTTGGGATGTGAAGCTTTTGGTGTAGCTGTTAGTGTAAGGTGTATGTATCGGGATGTGAAGGTTTTTTGTATCTTTTGTAAAGTCAGCCTAAAGTGGTAATGTGCTGCATTTTGTATCTTTTGTAAAATCCCAATGACAGTTGGTAATTATCCTGAATGTAAAGTCCCAACGACATATGACTGGAATGGAAATGTTTACGTGGATAGTGGAATGGAATTGGTTATGTTATTCAAAGGAAACATGCATGTATGGTTTCATTTCCATATATTAATATAATTATATTGGTTGCATTGATCCATGTGAAAGTACCAATTGTATGGGGACCATTTGAATACATAATGGATGTTTTATAATTGGGGAAATGGGACCTTTCAACCCATTAAAGTAATATATTTGGTACCATATACTACATTGACATTCATGCACATAATTCAAAACTATTCCATGCATAATATATAATCAGCCATCACCTTTTCTTATAGCTAAACACATTAAAAGACAACATTCTTCAATTAACTTAAAATGGCAACATACTATCATAGTTGCCAAAAATTACCATATTACACAAACACAAACACAAAGTCAAAATTACCATCATCCTAATAGACTTACATTAAATCTATATTACAAAAACACAAAGTGAAATACACAAACCATAACACCCTACCCTAATCAATTATAAGAGTTTTTCCCTTGGAATTTCCTGGATCATCACCACCACCAACTGTCTTTCCTAATCTGATGTTCAATATTCTCTCTGACTTTCTTCTCCTTATCCTCTTCAAAATATCTGAAATTGGTCTAACCTGCTGCACCTGCACATTAGGAACCTCAATAGCTTCCTCAACCACAACATTAAATATACCCTGACCATCTTCAACCACACCATTAGCTTGACCCTGACCATCTTCAACCACACCATTAGCTTGACCCTAACCACCTTCAACATTTTCAACCTCAACATCCTCACCAACAAAATCTTCAGCTTCATAACTTCTAGGAGGAGTCACTTGCATATACTAACCATAACCCCCCTGCACTACTGGATTCAGAATCATTAGGAGTAGCCTGGAAATCATTTTAAGTAGTATCCACCTGAATTGGAGTCATTCAACCTCATCATGTTGTTGAGGTTCACTTGTACTAGCCTACATTAGAGGAAATAATTATGTAAGTGGATAAGCACATGTAAATAACTTTAAATAGAAAATGGTTTTACCTGACCTGCTTTTTCCTTGGATAAAGTTTTTGTTTCTTGTTTTTCCTCTCATTTACATTTTGGGGTCTTCTTTGTGGACAAGTAGCCTTGTTGTGACCTATCTCCTTGCATATATTCCATTTGATTTTCCTTCCTACCTTAGAAACCTTGTGTTTTCCTTTATTCTCTGTAGTGGATTTCTTCCTACTAGTAGATGGCCTACCAGGCATCCTTCTACTAATAGGAGGCAATGGTGGATCATAGTTGGTCTGTGGCCACATGTCACTCCCATTCATAGGGTCAATTCTGTAACTGTATGCCTTCTAAAGGTTGTGGTGTTATACATGTTGTCCACATAGGCTTCTACATCCCTATTAAGATAGGATATGCTTGCTACACAATGAGCACATCCATATCCATTCAATTGCCACAACCTACAGGAACATGTTTTCCTTTCTAAGTCCACCTGATATGCATCTGCTGCTCCCATAACCTCAAACTGGTTTAATCCACTAGGCAGTACCTGATAATGCCTCTGGACCTTCTTAAGCAAATTCACCTTATCCCTTATCTCTGGACAAATAAAATTTCCCTATTGTTGTCCCTTCAACATCATGTTGTACAATATGTTCATCATGTACAATCTTATTTCCTCAAACATGGTGATTATGGGCTTCTTTCTGGCATCTACTATCACAACAGTAAAAATTTCAGAGAAGCCATTTTCAACTGCATCACAACACCTTCCAGGTTGAAAGAAAGCTCTACACCAGGTTTTTGGATCTTTTTCCATGACATATTGATGGGCATCTGGGTTCAATGTCTCAATTTCATTCATCACAACTTTGAAAGCATTCTCAGTTGTAGCTTTTGATGCTCTCCAAAACAATGTATGGTATATGGCCCCACTAAATCTCTTCTGCAAATTTTGGCAAATATGTCTAGCATACTTCCTGTGCTCTACATATGGCAACAACTCCTTAACAACCTCTATCAAACCCTGTAAAAAGAAGAAGATTTAAATCAAATAGTGTAAATTAAGTATACTTGAATTACAATGTAATAAACTAACCTTATGTTGGTCTGACATTAAACTGAATCCATTTCCTAAATTCAAGTGTAGATCCTCAATGAGAAGTTCCAAAAACCACTTCCAATTCTGCTTGTTCTCCACACATACCACAGCCCAAGCAATAGGATATATCTTGTCATTTGCATCCCTCCCAACTGCACAAAACAATTCCCCCTTACAAACACCTTTCAAAAAACAACCATCAAGACCTATTATCCTTCTACATCCTTCCATCCAACCTTGTTGAATCCTTGAAAACAAACATAGAACTTGCTGAAATACTTCTTTCCATCTTGGCCAATCTCCACATTTAATTTTACAGTTGACCCTTGATTAGTCCTCAAAATCTCATGACCATATGACCATAGCCTACCATAATGTTCAACAAGACAACCTTCAATAAATTTTAGTGCATACTTCTTTTCTTTCCTGCATTGGACCATACTAACTTGGATACCAAATTTTGTCATTACCTTTACCCTAAAACTTCCTTACACTCAATTTCTGATTCTGCACAATTTCTCTGGTATAATGACTCCCAATCCATACATATGTCACTAATGACCCTAACTTGAAGTTCCTAGCATAATTATGATCATCTTTTAGTGACTTGATTTGGAAACTCTGTTCATCACTCATCCAAGAAGCTCATAGTCTAAATGTGCAAGCACCCTTACTACACCTAACCAAAA